AGGGAAGGGGCAAAGAGGGATGTCTTCAAACTAAAGTTTCTAATAAGAGTGGTTGACCTGGCATAATATTTGGTGATGAACTTATATTATTGGCTAAAGAGATGTCCTTAGGGGCCTAAAAACCCTAATTTTTAAACCCTTCCTCCCTTTCCTGTCACAATGTGTCAAAAATTTTTGACCCCCTCCCCCTAAATGCAAGGGTGTGGAAATGAAGAATTACATTTTGATAATTTTTGTTCATTTTTGATCAATTTTGATCATTTTCCATAATTTTTGATAATTTTTTGATCATTTCATCAGTACCACACCCTTGCCTAAATGTTGGACGTCATAAGTGAAGGAACCCTCATAAACTCACTGATTCCAGAACGCGAATAAACCATTTATCTTTGTAACAGAACCCCCAATCTCCCTAAATTCTACATCCTTTCACAGACGGTAACATCCATTTTAAATTATATCAACCTGAAATCGGTCAACATATCAGTCAACTTCCTTTCCTCAAAATCAATAATTCAATAGCCAAGCAAACACAAAATCACACACAGCCAAATGAAATCATTGCAAATTATCGAATGCACTTAACTGGAATCAGTCTATGATAACAGTTGTGATTTATTTGCAAGATAACGGTGCAAATTTTATTGGAACGAAGTGAAACTTTTAATCAATTATTGTCTTTTTCGCTAGTATAGACAGCAATAAAAATCGGGGTGAATGCTTTTTCTGAGTTAACGAATGTCAAGTGCTTATAATTTCCCATTATCACTATCGTAAACGATTATTTATCACTTCCTCTTTAATCTTTTAAATAAAAATAAAAAAAACACGTCATTTTGCAAAAATGTGTCATTTTACTGATTTTCCACACTTCGACCATTAAAATATTTAATTACAGACACTAAAAGTGTCTCAAATTATTCACATCAAAACTATTTAGCGAAGAGTTTGTAATTCATATGAAAAATCACACCTGCACATTACCGGTATCTAATTATAAAATCAGTCATTTCCTCCAAAGTATTAAATCATCATCAATAACGTCATCATTAATCACTCCGACTATCACCTACCTCTTTAAATAATTTTCTTTTTGCTTGCCTGCTTGCCTTTAAAAAAACGTGAAAATAAAATCAGCGAATTTATGAATGAATTTAAGTGTCTATTTTCGCTCACGAAATTTTCTTTCCTTTATTTTTTTTTATTTCTTGTTGATGATGATGTTCTTACCAAGCACTTACTTTAGCTTGTGAGAAAAATATTATTTCAGTTCAAGTGGTGCCAGTTTGTCACAGCGGGATTGAGATACAAATGATACATTGTTTAGGTTTGGCTACAATGAAACAAGTGGGAAGGACGAATATGTTGAATAATCCCAGGATTAGTGATTGAATTAATGGTGTGTTTATTAACTTTGATATCAATCTTTACTATCCTGTGAATCCTCGTTTGATCCTCGTTATAAACTAAGAGGAGAATGATTGTTGCTTGCTTAGTGCCTTGCTAGACTACTTCTTCACAATTGCAAGTTGTGCTGAGTTTGCAAGGATTTAATCTACACTAGGTTTGGTTCACTTCTGTGAAATTGTATTCTTGATTCTAAGGAAAACAACCCGAATAGCTCAAATCGTATAATCGAGAAGAAATTCTAAGCCAGAATAAAGTCACGGCGTCTTTGGAGCAAATTTTTCGTGATATCGTAAAATTCGTCCTCAAACATCTACTCGTGTGATTTCGTTTCGATTATCCGACTTGTGCTGTTCGGGCAAGGTATATTCCCGAATAGTACAAGTCGGTTAATAGAATAGAAATCTGGGGTCAAGCCGGAATGACTCTATAATGTTGCTTGCTTAGATTTAAATCCAGCACCATGCCAGTGCCATTTGGGATTACATGAATTGCTTGAAGGTAACTTTGTGAATAGGTTTTTACCACAGAAGCATAAAAAGGGTAGAAAGAGCTATCTTAAACTAGCTTCTATTATTATTTTGAACTAAAACCTAAAATCAATCCAAAAACATCACAGATGCTTCGTAACCTTTGACAAAATAGAAATCCGAGAACAATAAACGAAACACATATAAATGTCAAATCACAAAGCTGGTTGTAGGAAGGATTTACAATAATATTTACATCAATCAACCTTGAACTTTTTTTCTTCACTTCGCTTTCTACATTTTGTCAAAGAAAATGCTTCACATACGAGCTGAAAAAAATTTCCGCAATATTTCACACAGCACATTATAAAAAAAAAACCTTTTTTTCTATTTTAATCAATATTCATTCTTCTTTATTTGTTCGTTTGGGTTTTGATACACAAAAAAATGTCAAAACATAAATTAAAATCAAATTAAATGATTCGCAAATTTAATTTAAAGTCCATCAATTACAGTGAAAGAGAAAAAAGAGAAAGAAAAGACTTTTTTTCTGCTGTACAAAAATAATTGAGGAAAGAAATTTATTGTGGGTGGTGTGAGTGAACTTGACTCTCCTTCTCGTGCATTTATACTGTCCAACTGTGTGTATACTCTTGGATAATTAGAGATGAAGCAGAAATGAAATGTAATTAAGCAATTATTGAGATAAATTTGTTGCTGGTTTATGTTGATCTTCTGGGAAGGTTATAGCTTAAATTTCTATTGTGTTTTGGTGTGTCAAGAATTAAGGATATAATGTCATTGTGTAAACTTATGTCATATAGACAACACTGTATGTAATAGAGATTCTCTGGTGGGTGAGAATCAAACCCACGACTTCACAAAATAGGGTTACAGATGTTCAGTTTGTTGCCAAGCCACTCGACCACAAAGGTCTTAATCTCGCACTCGCAGATTTGCCTACATATGGCGTGATACCCCAGATTTATTCCTGCTTAGGCACCACAAAAAGATACACCCATAGAAAAAATGAATCATTTTGGTTATTTTCATGTCGTGGAAACTCAGGATTAATCCCTGATTAAACCCTGATGCGTTTGATGAATAACTTCGGGATTTAAAAGGGATTTCAAATTTTTATGTTTATTGGCTCAGGGATTTTTAAGGATTTTTCAGGATTAATCCTGAGTTTCCACGCCTTGGTTATTTTATTGGCAATTCAGTTTAACAAATTTATGGTAAAGTAACAAAAACAAATCACCCTTCCCCCCTCTCGACCTCCATTTATTCCCCATACCATCATGTCTACGACCATAAAGTCAAACATTTAAACAGAAATTGTAGAACTCGTAAATTAATTCATTAGCTTCGTAGTAAATATCGTGATGAGTCGTTATCACGTTTTTCTAGAGAAATACTTTTGTCATTAAGCCATTTGAATTTTCTCAAGCTCATCGACCTTCCATGTAAGATTCTATTTATAAGGTCGAGTGGTATCGTTTCAGTTTTATGAGTTTATGATGAAATTGGAATTTAAAAGCGCATTCATCACACTTAAAGTCAGGAATTTGTGGAAAATATTCAATAGAATCGTGTATGATAAGATAAGATTAAATTAATCCACTTGATAAGAATTTGTGGAGCCAGTCAAATTGTTACGCAGATTCCTATTCTATTAGACAGCTGGTCGACAAGCATTCCTCATCAAAAATTGAATAAATGACAAAGATTTGTTGATCAAAAATGTGCTAAAAAGTGATTGGCAATGAGCATTCGAAAGCATTATTGACAAGTGAGAAAGAGAGAGAAAAAAATCGACAATCCGCGTCATGAGAGAATGAATCGTAAAGTGAGTACAGATATTGTCAAAACAAGAAAATTATCTCGTATTTTGAAGCTTAAGGTGCCGCTAATTGCTTTTTACTGTGCTGAATTAAAGTGGAAATTTGATAAACTGCGCATCTTGTATCCCTTAATCTAATCTCTTTACATCCAGTAATTGTCTAGCATGTTCTTAATAATTACAGCACTTAAATGCTTCATACATTTATTGAACGATTTGGCATAAAATTTATTTTGTTTTATTTCGTCGAGTGAAAATATCATTGATTTATAATTTTCATTGCCATCATGTCCCACATTCAATAAAGAAAATTAAGAGAATTTAAAAGGCACAGGACACGAAAAGTGAAAGAAGAAGTTGAAAAAAAAAATATTTTAATCATAAATAAAAGGCTTTGAAGTCAGGGAATATTCATTAATTTTATTGGCTCCGATTTTGCTGAAATATTCATATTTTCGATAGATTGGAACTAATGAACAGAAAATGGGTGAGGAAGTGATTGTATTGACGATGGTATGGAAATAAAGAGTAGCACCGGCAACGATATTGATAGCCAAGCTAGTTTAGTCTATTTGAGTTATATCTTTGTCGCAGATGAGTCTTGGACATTGAGAAGCTTATAGGATTCACATACTGAATAGCTTGTTATTTTTTGGAAATTCAGGTTTTATTAAACTGAACTCGTTCTTCAGTGGACCCTGAACCGGTAAAAATATGGGAATTAAAATCGTCTCATTCAGATCAAACCTTAAACTTCTGTTTTAATTAAACATAGTCCGATAGCGTTAGGGTCTGTTCACTTATGACATAATAGCAACAATGGGACATGTGACACTTGACTTCTATCTTGTATCTGGAATCATAAAATAACACCCCAGCACATTTTAATAACCCTCACACGATTCCAAAGCTTTAAGTTCATCGATTGCAATCTATTTAAATCTTCTGTCATTGATATTTTTTAATTAATTTGTTATTTAAAATTTTAGTTGCTATGGACACAAAATGTACCAAAAAAGTCAAAAGTTCAATGCGTTTTCATTCCTCAAAGTCATAATGACCCAGAATTTTTTTTTCATTTTTGGCAAAAAGTGTGCTAAAATCGAGAGAATTGTGAACTTGGGAATTATCGGAATTATGAAATAAATTCAGGTATATTGATAATATTTTTTTTGTACTTCCATTTATCGATCATTGTGAAAAATATATATTTTTTCGCTCACTTACCTACACTCACACTAAAAATTAATGCCAAGTGCTCATTTCATGCATTTTGGAAAAAAATTATCAGTCTACTTTAAGCCTTCGAACTGAACACATTCATACTCGTGCCTTAATGTGATAAACATTATCGGAAGTAAACAAAAAATAATAATAATAATGTATAACAAAATTCCTGACAGTATCGGTATGGGAGCAATTAAAAACAAATTTAAACTGATTTTAAATATTAATTTCTTTTAACTATGTAGTTACGATTTCATTCATTCCGACTGGACTTTGTCTGGGGCACTTATTTTTTCTCCCGTGGATACATCGAACACTTTATGACGAGTTTCACGTATGGCCATATTTTACACTCCTTTTTGCCATCGTCACAACCGCATCAATTATATCCATCATAAAATTGAGCAATGGCAAATATATTTTTGAACATTTCATTTACTTATCTGCTGCCAGTGTCCTCTTCATCATCAGCGGTGTTCTTTTTATTGTATTCAATATTGAAAGTGAGTATGACACATTTATAAAATATTTATTTGCTTGATGCTCGGTGAACGGTACGAAGATAAGTGGGAAATTTCTTTGTATACCATACAGTGGTGATTTATAGCGCGATTTTGAGGATTTGTAAAATTTGAATTTAAACGGGTTTTTAAAATTTGAATTTTCAACGGTTTTGAAAAATATGAATTTTAATCGGTTTTGAAAAATTTGAATTTTAACGGTTTTGTAAAATTTGAATTTTAAACGGTTTTGAAAAATATGAATTTTAATCGGTTTTATAAAATTTAAATTTTAACGGTTTTGTAAAATTTGAATATTAAAGATTATGTAAAATTTGAATTTTCAACGGTTTTGTAAAATTCAAATTTTAAACGGGTTTGAAAATATGAATTTTAAATGGTTCTGTAAAATTTGAATTTTCAACGGTTTTGTAAAATTTGAATTTTAAACTAGTTTGAAAAATATGAATTTTAAATGGTTTTGTAAAATTGGAATTTTCAACGGGTTTGTAAAATTTGAATTTTCAACAGTTTTGTAAAATTTGAATTTTAAACGGGTTTGAAAAATATGAATTTTAAATGGTTTTGTAAAATTTGAATTTTCAATGGTTTTGTAAAATTTGAATTTTAACGGTTTTGTAAAATTTGAATTTTAACGGGTTTGGAAAATATGAATTTTAAATGGTTTTGTAAAATTTGAATTTTCAACCGTTTTATAAAATTTAAATTTTTAACGGGTTTGAAAAATATAAATTTTAAATGGTTTTGAAAAATTTGAATTTTTAACGGTTTTGTAAAATTTGAATTTTAAATGGTTTTGTAAAATTTGAATTTTCAACGGTTTTGTAAAATTTGAATTTTCAACGGTTTTGTAAAATTTAAAATTTTAACGGTTTTGTAAAATTTGAATTTTAACGGCTTTGTAAAATTTGAATTTTAACGGATTTGAAAAATATGAATTTTAAATGGTTTTGTAAAATTTGAATTTTCAATGGTTTTGTAAAATTTGAATTTTAACGGTTTTGTAAAATTTGAATTTTAACGGGTTTGGAAAATATGAATTTTAAATGGTTTTGTAAAATTTGAATTTTCAACCGTTTTATAAAATTTAAATTTTTAACGGGTTTGAAAAATATAAATTTTAAATGGTTTTGAAAAATTTGAATTTTTAACGGTTTTGTAAAATTTGAATTTTAAATGGTTTTGTAAAATTTGAATTTTCAACGGTTTTGTAAAATTTGAATTTTCAACGGTTTTGTAAAATTTAAAATTTTAACGGTTTTGTAAAATTTGAATTTTCAACAGTTTTGTAAAATTTGAATTTTAAACGAGTTTGAAAAATATGAATTTTAAATGGTTTTGTAAAATTTGAATTTTCAATGGTTTTGTAAAATTTGAATTTTAACGGTTTTGTAAAATTTGAATTTTAACGGATTTGAAAAATATGAATTTTAAATGGTTTTGTAAAATTTGAATTTTCAACGGTTTTGTAAAATTTGAATTTTAACGGCTTTGTAAAATTTGAATTTTCAACGGTTTTGTAAAATTTGAATTTTCAACGGTTTTGTAAAATTTGAATTTTAAACTGCTTTGAAAAATATGAAGTTTAAATGGTTTTGTAAAATTTGAATTTTTAACGGTTTTGTAAAATTTGAACTTTTAATAGTTCATTGTAAGTTTTTAAGGTTAATCTTACAAGACAATATGACTGAAATTTTTACCAATTAATTTCAAAATATTAGTTTCAGCATTTATTTCTTCTTCTTGTCGTCATTAATATTAAGTGGAATCTGAAGTGAGTAGGAATGCACACATATAGTTAACAGCCTACAAACACAAACGATATCTTCCAATATCCACCAATTAATCATTTTGCGCGCGGATTATTTTTAAACCAAAATAAGTTGTCACCACATTTTTTTTCGTTTCTATTATTTTATTTTCATCTCTTTCTTCCTCATTTTCCATTTTCTTCTTGCTAGTCTCTATTTACTATAGAGTATTAGTGATCATTTGTATTTTTTCTACTCACTATGATTTTTTATTACCCTTCATTAATCTTATCTGTTATATTTGACTTTACGATTTGCCTCTTTTAATGTTTATATATCAATCAATTACAAAACAATTTATGCTCAACTGTGGTCGACCATTTATAAGCGGTTACTAGAGAAGACTATATTTTTGTAGCTTTTAGTGTGTTCTTTCTTAATTAAAGGCAATCATATATTGTTATTATAAAATGGAACAATCTACAGTCTTAGTCCATGCAACCCTATCCTTGCTGTGTCACTGAGAATCGTAGTTCTGCTCAAAACTGCTCATTCTCATAATATGTAAAAGAACTAATGATTTTTTAATTTCTCCCTAGACACTGAAATCGGACTATTCATGACTGTCGTCGCAAGTGGAATAACAATAATCGCAGGACTGTCATACGTAAACATTCGAACAATTAAACATGAGCGTCCTATGAGAATAGCCATATGTCACATGTGGAAGTTGTTTGGTTTTTCAGGAACATTTACAATTTATTTACTCTTATTTTATAACCTTGATGAGACATCAAATGTTGATGAGAAGCTGACAGAATTTTATCAAATTTATGGCTACTCAATAATTGGATCAACAGCAATATTCCTATTATTTTTGATGGTCAATGAATTTCTACAACGTCAAGGTCTTCTATATAATTATCGTGACTGTTTGGATAATGACAATAATATTGCTAATAACTACTGTAAATTATTCTCAAAGAATGAAGTCACAATTGAGAGGAACACGACAATGACAACAGCTGGTATGTGGAAATCAGCTGAGAATCTTAATTCTGGTACCAAAAGAAACAGCTACTTTAATGCTTTATGGACGATTTACGTGCTGCTTGGAAAGCTTCATGGTGCCATACTTTTCAACTACTTCCTTATGATTTATTCCATGAATTCAGCGTTTGCAAGCTTCACAAAAGTTGATTATGTCCATGGAATGGGATTGTGGCTGATGATTGCTGAAGCATTCATTGGATGTCTTTTTATGAGATTCGTGCATAGTGTCAAAGTTTATGTTGGCACATCAATTGTTGCTGTAATTGCCATAGGTGTGTCAATAATATTTTACGGCGAACTTCCACCAACGGGTGTTGCAATATGTTTATGGATATTTTATGCTGCAATGGCTTTATCTATTTTTGTACCTGACATTGTGTTGCTTGAAATGTCAAAGATACGATACAACGAAATTATTCTTGCAGCCGGATATTTTATAGAAATTATAACAATAGCTTCACTTCAGCAGTGGCATTTTGATGCACACATACAGACAAACTTATTGACATACACTGACGACTATTTCATTCCATTTGTGATTGCATCAATTGTTGTTTTAGTTGTAACAAGCATAATATACATTCTTCATGTGCCAAATACTTACGGCAAGTCCTTACTTCAAATTCAGAATGAATTGTTAAAGCACCAAAGTTATTTTGCATTTATAGCAAATGAAAAGCAAGAGCAAGTGATAATTGAGAGGAGGGAAGAGAGCAATAATCATAGTCAAGTGACTGACATTCATGAAAGTTCCGTTGAGCCTAGAAGTCGATTACAAAGTAACACACATTCAAGTATATATGCAGAATTGCAGTCAACTGATCAACTTCCAGTTGTCAACCAAGCAACATTATTCGATCCTTATTCAGAGATTACAAAACCACCGACAATTATTCCTAGAGCAACACTTGTTAAGGCACATCCAAATTATGAGAATATTGGAGGTTATTAATTTTTTTTAAAATTTGATTCTCAATCAACTATCGCCAAATCGTCCATAGACAGTCAGGAAATTTATCTGTGGATTTAACAAATATTAAGAAATAGTGCAAAAAGGATTAGTCCTGAAAAGGTCACTGGGTCAGATTTCTCGGATATACCGTAAGTCTTATTTACAATGCTTGAGTAGCACTTATTTAGGGTATATCAGAGAAATCAACCTGGTTTCTTGTAAAAAATGTAAAATATCAAAAACTTCATGAACCAAAAAGCTAAGTTTAATTATTATAGCCAATAAAAGTCTTTATTTTTCACCTCTATAATTTTGGATGCTTAAAGTTGTTTACACAAATTTTTAAGATTAAGAGTGTTCTATAGACTATCATGCACTTTCAGGATGTAAAGTACTTTTAAGGTTAAAAAGTTCAAATATGTAAAAAGCAGACGAACTTTATTGGCAATCCAGACAACAGGTGGCAGCAGTTGTAGAGAAACATTTAACGCAGATTGTGAAAAAGTTTGAAAACTTTAATTTTTACGAAGTGTAGCTCTCAATTGGACATCATGATCAGGTCTGAGTGGAAAACTTTTGATATCAAAATTGACATCTTCATGATTGAGTCGTTGATCTTCAAGAGAAAATGTATACTTGGACAATAGTGCTGCAATGATAAGTTTGGAGCTTACTCTTGCCATTCTCATCCCTGAAATAAAGAAATCAAAGTTAAAGGAATCAAAGACGCAAAACCGAACATAAAAGGCGCCAAGAGTCATTTGTGCCTGGATTTATCACAAAAATACTCACCAATACAATGTCTTGGACCGTCACCAAAAGGCGAGAAGAAAATGGCACTTTTCTGATTGTCCAGTTTAGAGTTTCCTGTAGCCGAATCCAAAAACCTTTCAGGAATAAAATCATGTGGATTATCATAGATTTCTGGATCTCGGTGAAGTGACATGATTGGAATTTTAACGTCTGTTCCTTTACGAACAACTAAATCAGTATTTGGAATTTTATAATCCTTTGTGCATTCTCTGAATAAAATTGGAACTGGTGGATATTTCCTCAAAGCTTCGAGCATACAGCACTCTAAATATTTCAAATTTATCAACGATTCGTAAGTTATATCCTGTGTTTTATAGACTTCATCAAGTTCATCTTGCAACTTTTTCTGGATTTTTGGATTCCTTGCTAATTCAATAAGACAGAAAGTCATAGCTGCGCTGTTAGTTTCAAAAGCCGCAAGAAAGAACACAAAAGCTTGTGCAGCGAGTTCATTAAATGTCAATTTTTGCATAGTTTTCGGTTCTGTTTCATTTTCAAACGTTTCTTTTTCATCGTCATCCACAACATCTTTATCAGCCGGCACGTAACCTTGATTTTTTAATTGAATCAATAGGTCCATAAAGTCATTACGATTATAATTATTTTTCTCTCTATAATCGACAATTTCACGAACTATTTTCAAAAAGAATTCATTCACATCTTCGGGTGCAAATTTGATCTTAAAAATGGACATTAATCTTGGCATGAATGTGAATAGAAATTGCTTCACATTATTTCTAAAATTATTTTCAAAATTCTTAACTCCAAATTTGTAGAAATCATTATTTGGATTATTAATGCAGTCATTGTCAATTCCAAATGCAACAGATGATATCAAATTTGCATTGTAACGTCTGAATAGTTCGCTGAACCCAAAAACTGGCTCATTGGTATCCAAACCCTTCTGAATGTAATTAACAAGGACATCTGAGTTTTGTTTCATGACTGGGAACATCCATCTCAACTTTCCAGATGTAAATGTTTTAGAAAGTCTAACGCGCAAATCTCTCCATTTCTGTCCAGTCATACTGAATAAAAATCCAGATAAAGGATCATTTTCTGTATCAAATGATATTGCATGATCGTGAAAATATCCAAAATCCTTAATGAATATGTCATGGATCATTTGTGGATCAGTGACAAGTAGAGATGGCTTGTAAAGGTTGTAAGTTCCAATAAATTTCTCACCTTTACTTTTGTAGTAAAATTCATCGAAAATTTCATAAAATGACGCAGACTGTGTTATTAACTTCCGACTGTTTCCAAAAAGAAATGTAGCATCAAGTTGCTTAAATCCATTTCTTTTCCAATAGCTTAAAAAGTATCTATCAAGCAGATACCAAGCAATTGCTATTAAAACTAGAGCTACTATGAAACCCATCTTTCCACTTTCACGTTCATAAATTGACTGATAATCAAGTTCGCATCATATTAAATATTTAAATTTTGAAAAAATAATAAAAATAACCTTCAGAATCACTTGCTGATAATAATCAATTGTTTGATTTGACTTCTTATTTACTAAGTTTAAAGTTGGAAGCAAAAAAAATGAATTCTCAAAAAGAAAACTCGTTGAATTAGGCAGTAAAATTGATAAATTTTAAAGGAACTGATGCAAAATGGAACAAAAAAGTCAACAGCACGTAGCGTTCCCAAGCGGTCACCCATCTAAGTACTAACTACGCTCGACGTTGCTTAACTTCGGTGATCGGACGAGAACCGGTGTTTTCAACGTGATATGGTCGTTGACAAAGATTGATGTGGCTAGTTCCACTTCTTAAACAGTTTCTCAACCATTTTTCATACAAAATAATGGATTTTTCAATACAAAAGTTTTTGAATCTGGAAGTAAAACTGATAAATTTTACAGGAACGGAAGCAAAAAAGAACAAAAAGTCAACAGCACGTAGCGTTCCCAAGCGGTCACCCATCTAAGTACTAACTACGCTCGACGTTGCTTAACTTCGGTGATCGGACGAGAACCGGTGTTTTCAACGTGATATGGTCGTTGACAAAGATTGTTGTGGCTAGTTCCACTTCTTAAACAGTTTCTCAACCTTTTTACATACAAAATAATGGATTTTTCAAAAGAAAAGTTTTTGAATCTGGAAGTAAAACTGATAAATTTTACAGGAACGGAAGCAAAAAAGAACAAAAAGTCAACAGCACGTAGCGTTCCCAAGCGGTCACCCATCTAAGTACTAACTACGCTCGACGTTGCTTAACTTCGGTGATCGGACGAGAACCGGTGTTTTCAACGTGATATGGTCGTTGACAAAGATTGTTGTGGCTAGTTCTACTTCTTAAACAATTTCTCAACCATGTTTCATACAAAATAATGGATTTTTCAATAGAAAAGTTTTTGAATCTGGAAGTAAAACTGATAAATTTTACAGGAACGGAAGCAAAAAAGAACAAAAAGTCAACAGCACGTAGCGTTCCCAAGCGGTCACCCATCTAAGTACTAACTACGCTCGACGTTGCTTAACTTCGGTGATCGGACGAGAACCGGTGTTTTCAACGTGATATGGTCGTTGACAAAGATTGTTGCGGCTAGTTCCACTTCTTAAACAGTTTCTCAACCATGTTTGATGCAAAAAATGCCCTTTTTAAAACATTTCTTAATAATTTTAAAATTAGAATATTTAATATGATGCAAATTTCACTTTCAGTCCGTTCGTAAGCTTGAAAAAATTAAGATGGGATTCACAGTAGCTCTAATTTCAAAAGCGATTGCTTGGTATCTGCTTGATAGATACTTTTTAAGTTATTGGAAAAGAAATGGATTTAATCAGCTAGAATCAAAATTTTTTGTAGGAACTGGTCAAAAAATGGTGACGCAGTCAGCATCATTTTATGAAATCTTTAATGAGTTTTATTACAAAAGTAAAGAACATAAGTTTGTTGAACTATACAATTTTTATAAGCCAACACTACTTATTACCGATCCACATAGGGGCCATTCACTTATTACGTAACGCTTTTAGGGGGGGGGGGTCTAAGATTTTGTTACGGTTCAAACAAGGAAATTTTTTTTTCATACAAATTTTGTTACGAGGGGGGGGGGGTCTAAGAAGTCATTTTTTCGCGTTACGTAATAAGTGAACAGCCCCATATGATTCATGACATATTTATTCAAGATTTAGGACATTTCTATGATCATTCTATTGAGTTTGACACAGAAAATTATCCATTGGGTGGATTCTTGTTTAGTTTGACTGAACAAAAATGGAGAGACTTGTGTGTTAAACTAACACCAGCTTTTAAATCTAGCAAACTAAGATGAACTGTTCAGACGATTCAATGCAAATTTGATATCATCTGTTGGATTTGGACTCGATAATGACTGCATCAACCAACCTGCATTTTCATAATTCCTAATGCCTTAATCCTTTGTACAATGAGTACAAATAAATACTTTTTAACATCAAATGATACTTATGATACTGAGGCTTACTAAGGTTCAAACTAAAATGAATCTGTTTGAATACCAAGAACCTTATTGTATTTTCTATTTAATGGAACTGAACGTTTACCGAGAGTTTAAAAGAACAATTCAAGGTCATGATCAAGAGAAGATTTCTCAACTGATATGAAGAATAATATGTTGCGCGTGTACCGAGTAATACATCGACAAGAGAACCTCATAATTTCGGAGATTTATTTAAAAATTCAAAGTTTTTCGACTTCATAGAGTGAATAGAGCATCTTGCAGATGAAACAAAAACCTATTGTAAAATTTTCTCAAAATATTTCTACTCAACTTTTGATAAAGATTCAGCGTCGTAGACAAGAAGGAATGAAACTCTCTTCTCATCAAATTGCTAGAGTTTCTTGACCTCGTTAAATGTTTCTGGCTTCGCCTTTGTAAAGATCCTTTTATTATGTGTTGATCTTCTCTCACAAAAGTTACTTTTTCTTGCTGTTCACATTATTTTTTCCACTGTCATAAGAATCCATTTATCTCGTGGCAATTCATGGTTTTATAGCAGATGACATAAATAAATAGCATGCAGATCAGTTAAATAACTTCTCGTATGCAAAGTTTGAACAGAAAAAGTTTAAACGCCTTTGGAGTCGTTCACTAATGACGTCCGAAATTAACGGTCATTTTTTTAAAAAGAACAATCGAGTTCTAGGAATTTCCGTTGTTCTTTTTTTGCTGACCCCTCCCCTGAACGTCATAAGTGAACGACCCCATTTTTTATTATGATACATGCTGATGAAACGCTGAATTGAAGTGATTATGGGACCTCTAGATTATTATGATTCAAATTTATTTGAAAACTGAAGTTGATGGATTCATAAATTTTGAAAAGTTCCCCAATTTCCTTATATGTAATATAATTCAAGTTCAAATCAGAAGCTTTTAAGAAACTCAATAAATTACGACGGGATTTTCCAAAATCTCTTTCTCTCAATTTCAAAAACTAGAAATCAGATCATAAAAATCCCAAACGCAAGAATATGCCGGGTAATTTTATGTCTGTGTTTACTCCTGCACAAGCATAAAAAAAGTTAGCTCGAAGCAGTTTACTCAGTGAAAATGAAAAATTGTGAGATGTGTCTTCTCTTTGCCATTTACGGCTCATTCTCTCAATTCGATAGACTTGCACTCGACTATAAATTAAGCGACAAACTCAAATGTTCTTACAGTCTCGTAAAAACCTTTTGAATAAATTAACTTATTGTACAGAAAGTGAGAATTTAAAATGAAATTATCAGTGATCTTAGCCTTTGGATTATTATCCGTTGTGTCTGCATATCCATCAGCATGTAAATAAGCGAAAATTCTTCTGCTTTATTGATTAACATTAATGTTCAAATTAAAAATCTTTTAGTGTATTTTGACGATGGACAACAATTAGTTCGTTATGTACGTGATTTGTCAGGTTCAGCTGCAAATGCCGGTGAGATATTTTTAAATGTTTTCAGTGAATAAAAAAAAGTTTACTGATAATTATTAATTTGATTAGGAGCCTCAACACAGACATTAAACTCTGGAATTGGAGGTATTAGTGGAGGTGCTGCTACTGCTGGTATGAAAAAAATTGATATTTAAAGTTTGAATGATTAATTTTAATGGATTATATTCACTTAATTAGGTGCTGCTACACAGACATTGAGCTCAGGATTAGGTGGTGTTAGTGGAAGTGCTGCTAATGCAGGTAATATACTGCTAATTTAATATTAATTGTTGGATCTTATTGGAAAATATATTAATTCTAATTAGGAGCATCAACACAAACATTAAGCTCAGGATTAGGTGGTGTTAGTGGTAGTGCTGCTAATGCAGGTAATATACTGCTAATTTAATATTAATTGTTGGATCTTATTGGAAAATATATTAATTCTAATTAGGAGCATCAACACAAACATTAAGCTCAGGATTAGGTGGTGTTAGTGGTAGTGCTGCTAATGCTGGTGCAAGTACAACATCATTCAATCAAGGAGGATTCCCAGGTGGTTTTCCAGGTGCTTTCCCAGGTGCTTATCCAGGTTTTGGAGGTTTTGGAGGATCAACAGCTAATGCTGGCGCTAGTTCTACATCATACAACCAAGGTGGTTTCCCAGGGGGCTTCGGAGGTTTTGGAGGTCCAGGATTCGGGGGTTTCGGTCAATCAGGAAGTGCTGCAAATGCTGGTGCAAGTACTCAATCATTCACAGGAGGATTCCCAGGTGGTTTTGGACAATCAGGAAGTGCAGCTAATGCCGGTGCAAGCACTCAATCATTCAATCAAGGATTCCCAGGCGGTTTTGGACAGTCGGGTAGCGCTGCAAATGCTGCAGCTGGTACTACATCATTTACAGGTGGTGCCCCAGGATTCGGTGCTTCAGGAAGTCAAGCTGGTGCTAGTGAGTATCAACTAAGTCGAAAATTTAAGAACAATGGTTAATTAATATTTCTTTATCCTTTTTCAGGCGCTGGAACCCAAGCAATCGCTGCCCATTAAATGATCAGCTCTCATCCAATTTCTCACCTTAAACAAATTTTTGATTTTACAAAAAAGTCCTCATTTTCTGTACTTATTTTGCAATAGATTTTGAAAAAATTAATAAATATGAAATTTTGTGATTAAAATTTTTTTTTCACTGCATGAACTTTTGTGAACTCCTGTTTAGTCGAATGTGATGATTTCATCAGAAATTATTTTGCTGATATGACAACTAAAATTTCTTATTTTTATGAGCTGATAATTAAAATATTTGAACGAGTGTGGCAATTTTTGTTTATTTTGTCATCGACCTGACCTAATGTGATGTAAAAATTTATTACAATAATTAAAACATTACGATTGTCGAGAAGGTGTTAAGCAGTTTAAATGTAAAAAAGGAACAACATTGACAAGGTTCGATGTTGTTTGCCCTTGTAATTATCATGATACTTGCGAAGTTGTATATTAGGTGTAAATATTGACAACTTAGTAAATTCATTTTTTTCCATTAAATTGTTTATTTCAAAATAAATTATAAGGAGATTCGTCATTTGATTTTGGGTGATTCCCATTAAAAATTTTGTAATATGAAAGTTAATTTTTACAAATAAGAACTTAAGGATGTTCTTAAATGTTGAATGAAGTAACCCCGAGTGGACAAAGTACTAGTTAAAAGCTTGCCATTGACTTGTTTATTCATGGCGAGTAAGGATCCATTGACGTGCCTTTGCAACTAGACTTAGGGACGACTAATGACATATTTTGCGCTTTCCATTTAACTGGACATAGGAATTGCAAATATGTCTAGTTAATGTCCAGTTAAAAAAAAATCGAAATAAAATAAATAACACGTGTCTTTTTCTCCATTTTTTTTCTTATGTAAAATATTATTATTGTATTAGTGTAATTAATTAATTAAAGTACACTAACACTTATGAAAAATCTCTATTAAGCATTGAGTCTCAAACACTTGCGCGTGAAACATTTATATTTGCTTAAAATTTTCATACAAATTTTGGTAGACCTTATATAAGTGATTTCTGCAAGCGCTTGTGAAGTATATGGCCAAAAAAGTAAGGAAAATTATTTTTGAGTTTCGAGCACTTGATTGATTAGCATGAATGTCCAGTTAAAGTCTAGTTAACGTCGAGTTCTCTATGTCGTTTAAATTTTGGCAAGTTAAAAGACTGTTAAATGACTGTCCAATAATGGACTTTAACTGGCTGTGTCCACCCGGGAACATTAGTGATGAAACATTAATTTTAGACCTTAATGAGTTCAAAGCAATGCGTAGCTTGATATTTGATGTTAATTTTACAAATCTAGTTGCTTAGCTCATTTAGTAAGCTAGTTAAAATATATTGTTTTGTTAAATAATGAATCAATGGACGATTGTGGAGACTGAAGTCTGACTATGAAGCTGATAAAATTTCGATTGTAAACCTTTTTGTGTTACTCTTTGACACGGTAGTCAACAAGATATGAATTTGCATGTTAGAAAAATTAAAAGCTTATCTTCACAGACTTGATCATTAAGTTGACAGCTTTACTCAATTATCTCCTATTAAGTAGATGATAAGGGTTATAAGCGAACAATAATAGTTACATATCCAACCAAAAATGGTATAATTAATCTTTTGGTTGAATTGAGATTCACATTTAGAACAGTCAGACTGTGTCAATAACTTCAATACTTTAAAAACTTACGGTCAGAACTGGTCAAAACTAAAATTAATCTACAAAACAACTAGACTGTAAATGGGAATTTCTTATGCATGAGTCACATTGGCAAAGTGATAACTAATGAATCAACTAGTGTATCGGGTAGAAACCCAATAGCGGATTATATTCACACCGTACCATCAAAAGTCTTATCGATAGACCAAGATTTGCCCAGCATAAGTATGAAGATATAAAGCAAGCGAGTCAGCTGAGCTTTGCTCAGCATAAGTTTGAAGGTATAAAGCTAGCGAGTCAGCTGAGCTTTGCTCAGCATATGTTTGAAGGTTAAAAGCTTAACGATAATTGAAAATGTATTTCCTTGGTTCTTTGCTCAAAAAATTTTTTTTCATCCAAAGTTAAATTTAAAAAAAAAATCACAGTGAACTTTTAATTTGAAAAATTCTTAAGAAAGATAAGTTTTTTGCTTTTTCTGAAGCAACGGCTGTTCCTACCTTGCCTAAAAACAATACAGCTCTTCTATAGAGCAGCACGGATCAAATGTAAAAAACTAGAAGTTTCTACAATGTCTCGTTATTGAGATTTCTTGCTGATTTGTTTTCTCACAAAATGCGAAAAACTGATTTTTCAATCTGAACAAAACCAATAGATTCACACGTGAAAACGGTGTAAATATAAATATTAGGCTTAAGTTAACTTGTAAGAAAGAGATTCATTTGAGTTACGAATGTTGAATTTTGAGAGATTTTGTTCAAGTTTGCTTCAATCAAGTGATTTAAATTTCCATTAAATTAGACTTTTTAAATCCAATTTTCCACAAAATTAACCAAGAACTTAAAACTCAACGACCAAGAAATATTCATAAAGACAATCCAAGATCATTTCAAATGTTTAAAAACCAAGAAAAAAACCTCAAAAATGTTTTTTATATTCACACCGTTTTCACGTGTGAATCTATTGGTTTTGTTCAGATTGAAAAATCAGTTTTTTGAATTTTGTGAGGATATGGAGCAAGATAGCTTAAAATGTTCAGAGATGAAAAGTTTGTGCCTTGAATTTCACATCTTTTGCAAAAAACAGATTTCAAATTGGTTGCGGCATTGCTGAGAAAATCGCAAAATATGCTTTCTGTAAGCAAACAAGCAAGCAAGCAAGCAAGCAAGTTAATCAGCAAGAAATCTCAATAACGAGACATCGTAGAGACTTCTAGTTTTTTTTAAATTTGATCCGTGCTGCTCTATAGAAGAGCTGTATTGTTTTTAGGCAAGGTAGGAACAGCCGTTGCTTCAGAAAAAGCAAAAACTTTTCTTTCTTACGAATTTTTCAAATTAAAAGTTCACTGTGATTTTTTTTAAATTAAACTTTGGATGAAAAAAGTTTTTTTGACCAAAGAACCCCAATGTTAGCAAAGAGAACAGAGTCCGTTACAAACAAAAATATTTCAAAATTTTTGCACGGTATTTTTTTAAAATTTCAAAATAAGAAAGTCCGTTACTTTTTATTTTTTTTTTAAACTAGCTGTTTTTTAAAGCATAAACATTTAAGGAATGCAATTTCATCAAAGTGATTATCTTAATCATAAAAACTAATGTTCACTAAAATTACAAATTACCCGAAAAATAATAATTCACAACGATTTTTTTTAAAAATAAGAACTTCGAAGATTCGATTTTCGACAAATAAGATACTCGAAAATTCGAAGTTCGAATAATAAGAACTCAAAAATTTCTGTTTGCTAGCATTGGAAAGAACCAAGTAGGAAATACATTTTCAATTTTGGACTAGGGGCGAATTGACATAATTCTGACATAAATCACATACCAATATTACTTTTTGTAATGCATAGTTTAAATAAAATCGAAATCTAAAATTTCGACTACCCCATCTGAATTTTGTTCATATTCTTCACTGTGGAAACCAAAAAAACAAATTCTTTATCTTAAAACACTTGACAAAATAGCGACATAATTCAGGATTAATTACTTTTTAATAATATTTTAACATTTACGAGAAAATGTGGTTCAAATAAGTGTGAAGTATGGCCGAGATTTGGACCAAAATCAGCTATACTGGTTCATAGTGTTCCCGAGGGTGACAAAATTCAAACTAAGTGTTTTTGTAGCTGACATAATTATGACATAAATTAGGTATAACTTTTGAACTGTGTCGATATGGGTCTCGGCCGAACTTCACGCCCACCCTTCAAACTTATGCTGAGCAAATCTTGGTCTATCCATAAGACTTTTGATGGTACGGTGTGAATATATCCGCATTGGGTTTCTACCCGATACACTAGTTCAACAATCAAATTCCATACATGAAACTCAGAGAGAAAGAGAATCCCTTAAAAATTAAATCAGTGAGCGTAATTCGTGAGCATGAATCAAAACTTTTTACAACTATCCATTCATCTTTCTGCCAAACAATACACGTTGTTTGGTAAAAATCTAAATATTCTCCCAAAACAGAGAGACTTTTATGACAATATTGGTGAGAATTTAACGTTATTTTCCTACTGTGTGGCTACATCATTTTACATTTGCTGCTCGCACCGTTGGAAAAAAATATAAATTGTATGTGAGCGAAGACAAAAAAAATATTTCTCAATTCATACGAAAAAAAAAAAGTCTGAGTGAGGTTTTTAAGATGGCTGTCTTTTTGGTAGAATAAAAATAATTTTTTTAAGTTAAAATAAAGAAATTAGGTGGTTTAATGAGATATGGATTCGAAGAATCAAAAGATAAAGAGACCGAAGAGACAACAGAAAGTAATTGAAGACTACTGGGACTGCTCAGTTTGTACATTTAGGAATACAGCAGAAGCCTTTAAGTGCTCAATGTGTGATGTTAGAAAAGGTGAGGATTTGCGGAATGAAAATTGGCAAATTTAAATGATTTTATGAATGCGGAAGTGAATGATGTGAAAAAATCAAGGAAATAAAATGAAAATATTGTAATTCCATAACAAGATTCGGTTGGGAAAGTCCAGAAAAAGAAATTTAAAGAAATTTTTTCCCACAAAATTTTTTTAGAGCTATTAACAGCTGCAGACAGTCAATATACTCTCGACTAATACATAGACTATCAGATTCTAAGGCTGTGTTAGTGCATGAATATGTAAACAGTAGATGAAAATCAATATATTTATGATTCATGTCGGGAAGCAATAAATACACAAATACCGCAAGTGTTTTGTTATTATTTCTCTCGGACATAAATGGAGCATGAAATTGGCTGAAACTAATTGCCATAACAACGACTCTTGAAATATTTTTTCATCATTCCTCTACACATCTCATTCCAGACTTTTCATTTTACATTATATCTCTATTTTAGGTACATCGACACGTAAGCCACGTTTAAATTCAGCACTCGTTGCTCAACAAGCTGCCACACAAATTCAATTCCCCGGATCTAGTAATTCACACCCCTCAAAATCTTCCAGTAAATTATCACGAAGTAAAAATAAACGTTCGAAGTATGTACGATTGAAAAATATAGACAGAACGACAGGACAGACACGTGAGGTCACTGTGAATAGTGTGACTGTTGTCATAACAGAATATAAAGCAAAGATAGTGAATAATCGTGAATCGAGGCATGATTCGAGTGATTTTAGTGAAAGTAATGATTCAAGAAGTTAAATTAAATGAATTTTTTTTGAAAAGAATCGATTTTTGTGATTCTTTTCAAAGACATTTTACTGACGAGGAAGGAATCCTCAGCCAGCTGTATAGTGTGTAAAAAGAAAAAAATGGGAAAGAATGTCTTAAGAGTCAATCTTAAGCAATGAAAAACATAATCCCTCATCCATCCAATCATATTTATCCCATGTGCTATTAATATAAAGATTTTTTTTAATTACTGTCTATGTCTTATGGAAGTTTTATTTCTGCAAAGTGACTCGTCGTGAGGATTTAAGCTTTTAAATTTTGTATGAACTTTCACAACTTACTTCCAAGTCTGCGAGGATGATAATGAATGATTATTAAGAACAGACATTAAATAGAAGTGAAAATGAGGTTTCAAGTCAGCCATCTGATCAATTTCTACTTCAGTCAACGATTTGGATACTTGAAAATGTAAATGTTAAGAACTGATAAGACTAATGTGAATGGATAGCAACAAAAAAATGTTTATGGAGATTTTACTTGTTTGAAGTCAAAATATGAGTCAACACTGATTGATTGATCTTGTGGAACTGCTGAAGTAGCTCAAGAAATTAAAGATTCAAGTCAACGTCAGTTTCTGCTTTAAATTTGGCAAATAGGATAGATATCCAGTTGAAGACTAGATTAGTAATCAATAGAGTTGCATTTTCGGGCAACTTAATCCTTTATTTCTCAGCTCACCATGGATTCAACAACTGATTGGAGTTTCCAAGACTTCGTTTGCAGATTCTCTGCCGTTACCAAGTTTTTCTTAGAATAAAAATAAGACTTGTGCAAATCCATGAGCATTAGCCTAGCGAAGACAGAGTTTCTCATAAAACAGCGAAACTGTTCATAAGTCAGACATAAGAGACATACAACACTAACTGTACAAAATATTCTGGATCTTAAAAAATTCACTTGAAGGCATCGCAAGATCTCCATCAATTTTCGCAGTAAACATCCAGTCAATTTAATATAAAACCACAAATTGAGATTAATTCATCAAAAGTCCATCCCAATATTCATCTGAGAAGTTCCTCATTTCCAAGAAAATTAATCAACGAAGATGAAAATTCTAATTAAGCTTCAATTCGCAGAAAATACAATTTCCATAAGATGAACCTCCTCTTAGTTTAAAGGATATTCCTATCAAATTATTTAAAGTGCGCGCACAACAAAAAAACATCCTTAGTTAATTTAAAATTGATTAATTTTATTAAATTCAAGTGGAAGTACATTATAGCAGTAAACCCAAAATTATTTAGTTTTAATTTATAGATAATCATAAAGGAAGATAATTAAATAAACAAGAATAAGAAGAAAAAAAAATGAGGTGAATGTGTCTTCAAGTATATTAATTTACATATAATGGAAATAATCAGCACATCCATCAAAAGGTTTTTTTTTAAATTCATTTAAAGTTGAAAAATACAATGATGCATTAATTAAATACTGCCATTACGTTTAGTAGCACGAAATAATCATAATTGATGAATAAGATTCATTTTTAAAATGTGTAATTTAAAAAAATTTATTGACTAAAAAGTTCTGCCAAGTCACAAGCTAACTGTAAACTTTAAGAGGATGCAGTTGTTATTGTGGATTGTAATTTGTGTTCTGTGAATCACTAATTTGGTGTGCATCTACTGTTGTGGGAATGCTTTTGAGTGTTTGGTACGAGATATGAGGAATTGAAATATTTTAGAGGACTTTTAACTGGAAACTTTGTTCATGTATGTCCGGAAATGAGAAATAATGCTTGCCTTTAGATGTGATATCCAGAAAATGTCAACAGGAGCTATGGGGCCATTCACTTATTACGTAACGCTTTTAGGGGGGGAGGGGGGTCTAAGATTTTGTTACGGTTCAAACAAGGAAATTTTTTTTTCATACAAATTTTGTTACGAGGGGGGGGGGGGGGTCTAAAAAGTCATTTTTTCGCGTTACGTAATAAGTGAACAGCCCCTATAACATTGAATGTAATCACTCGCATGTTTTCTATAATAATCAGAGATTGAATTAAGATCATTGATGATTCATGTTTTAAAATTCTTGCTGCTTCTGACACTTAAGGTAATTGATGATTGGAAGCTTCAATGGCTAATTTGAACTTTTTGTTCCTTGAACTTGTCATCATTTGACTCAGTAAAGATAACTCAGACTGTTTATATGCTTAGGTCATAGATATTTTACCTACAAGTGCCAATGGCATGGTCATCAAATGGTCAGATCTCCCTATAACTGCCATATGTGTATACAAGTCGAGTTCGATAGGAATAGAACTCACGACCTCAAAAGAGGCGATCTCTCAACACTCGATTGGAGATCCCTGCCACTCGGTCACTTAGGCAATTACCTCACTTCGGCTGTTATACACTTATAGGCAGTTTCAACGCGAGCCCTATGCTCAAGCCTATCTACTACAGATATGCTCTTCGAGCCATATCCACAGGCTCTAATACCGAATAATCAAATTTTTGGCCAACAATGAATGCTATAGCAGCCTTTAAACTACATCCGACGAATTAAATAACTCAAAGCTCAGCGTTTGTGAATTTGATCTTAAAATGAATCAATGCTGTTACTGATATACACCAATTAAAATACATTTCATGATCGACAACATTCCATCATTCACAACTGCAAAATCCTCATTTCAATCCTTTTAAAAAGTTAGCCGTGCTTTAAAAAAAGTTTTAAACAATTTTTCCTCTTCAAAGTTTTTTAATAATTATCGTCTTCACTACATTTTTGAAAATGTACATTAAATGAGTAGTTATCACAATTATTGTATTTATAATAAAAAAAAAGAAGTCTTCATAAACAAATGATATAAATGCCTCATCGAAATGAAGGAGTAGACAGTAGAGTCAGATGACTCATTATGATGAAAATTGCATGGCAAATAAGTGTCATTATTATTTGTCGTAATGTTTACCGTGAAATTTTAATGATGTTGACTGTAAGAAGATAAAATGTGAATAATTCATTGTGATAGGAATTCAATTTTTTTGTGCTGTTGATTCGGGGAAGGAAGTGGTGTCTTTATTGTCTGGTGCTTGATTTTTGTTGGATTATTGTACAGTTTGCATCTTTAGAATATGTATGGGATGCATTCATTAGACGTGGGAAGGGGACAATGTAAAAGTCGAAAAAGTTCGAGAATTTTAATCTCAACGTGGCTTATCCGAAGCTACTTTAATGTTTTTCTGCTAAGAATGCAAAGTTAAATGTCAAATTAAGCACTATTAAAAAATTGAATATATCCAATCCACTTCCATATTAATTTCTCTAAATTTTAATCAACAGCAATCAACAAATACCGATAACTTAATGACTGACAGATGAAAACATGAATTCCCCCTTAACAATCCCTGCCAGAAGTTAATTCTCTTCCCCCAAAAAGAAAATCAATGTCTTGTTAATCCTTAAATCACAGCATCTTACTGGTTGGATCTATTTGTTTATCATTCACCTCACGAACCACTCAATAATACCTATAAGCATCTTACTGTCTGTCGACATATACGAAAGTATGTTTAATGTCATAAATTATGACAATTGTGAACTAACTCAACCTAAACTTCTAATCACATAAGCACACACCGTTTGTCGTTCATTAACATTGTAATGTGACTTTTTCTTGTTTCTGTCAATGTAAAATTGGACGTTGAATTAAAAAAAATTGGCAGTGGAAAGAATTTCACGAAATTGAAAGTTCTAAAACAAATTAATCATTAAAAAAAGTATTTATTCAGCATAAGTTATTAAAATCGATGGATGTCAGAATGTGAAAGAAAATTTGATGAGCCTATTAAATGAATTTTTTTTTATGTAGCTAAGAATTTTTGATATTTCTCTCACTTAATCTTCATCACTTAATTATTATTGTACATTAACACCATCAATTAGACTGCTTTTAATCATAATTTGTATAAAAAATATAAAAAATGTTTCTTAAATTCTTAATTTATAATGCAACAATAGTAACGAAATGATTCTGTTGTAAAATTATTATTATTATTATTATTATTGTATTGACTATTATTATGCTATATTTTTAAGTATGAAAAGAAAATCGTAACTATAGAGAAATAAAATGAAAATGGAATGAATTTTTTTTTATCTATGCAAAAAATAAATTAATTGCATGATGAACTTTTTGTTCTGCATTTTTTGATTTACAGATTTTTTAATCTTCAAATATTTTGTTTGAAAATTGCCAGAGGATTCGACAAGATTTCCAGGTGAGAAGGGGGGGGGGGGGGGGATTTTTCATAAAAAATCATAGAAAATTGAAGCAATTGTTCTCTTAATTTAGCTTACTAGAATGGCTAGTCACATGACAGTAATAAGGCATCCCATTGATAACAAGTCTGCCTCATCTAACCTTTGAGCAGTAGGACAATATCACGATTCCAGTCGCTTATTTCATTAAGTAGTATTTTTGATCACTTTCTATGTAGGTTTATAATGGTTTGAGTTAGGTGTGACCACATGCTACACGACTTGATCAGATTACGAATCTCTAGGGCAGTGTTTTTCAAAGTTTTTGAGCTCAGCACACCTGAGGAGTAAGCCATGACCAAAGTCACACACAGCATCCGGCTCGTGTCAGTTTCAAAAAAATTCTACGGTACACAGTTTTTAGTACACTGACCTAGGGCAAAGAGCTCAAAGAATAAGAAAAGAAGCCAACGTGTTAAAGACACTAAAACCATTCGACCTCCAAAAAATTTCAAAAATTCAACATCTTCGATTACTTCAAAAAAGAGAACCCATAACTCTTTTTAAAAATACCAAACATTAAGTCACAAAAATGCAAGCAACAAATTTATTTCCACACGCTGAGTTTCCACGTCTTATTTTCCATAAATCCATATGTGTTGTTCCATAAAAAGTGTTGAAAATTTCTCACAGCATTTTTTTCTGTCTTGTATCGCGATGCTGTACATTAAAATAAACGAAAACTACTGTAGCGCTTCAATCTGCAACTCCAAAATGATTTATTTCTTCCTATACGAGTTGGTAAGTCGAAAAAAATGTCAACGAGTAACGACAATTCAAGTGCATCCGTTGGTTGTTTTCAATTTTCAACTCGATCTGTCTCCTATGAATGGTGATTTTTTACTTTTTTACTTTTTCTAAGTGCATAACTCCTGTTGACT